ATGATTCTCATATATCAGATATTATACAATCTCGGTACAATTGTGGAGCTTTATTTATTTATTTCAAATTAACTTTGTCTATAACTTTTTGATTATTGCACACTATATGATCGTTCAAAGTAGCTTGGGATCACAGATGGTTTTTTCTAATCACAATTTTATTCTGAGGTGTTGGCTGTATCCAAAGTAGTTGCTAAGTATTTTAATGACTTACCTTTCTTTACATCGTCTTAATATTGCATTTCATCTTTCACTTAGATAGATAATTAATCACAATTTGTACTCTTTAACCGAGTAAATTTTACCTCATAATTAATTAAATTACTTAACTTTGTCTAAGTTTTGTTCTTAACTCTATCGTAAACTATCAGAATTTATTGTCTCATTCATGATTAGATTGGTGATTTATCATTTATCTATATTATTATCTTCTCCTCTTTATTTTTCTATGTATTAATTACTTTAAACTAATTTTTCGTGTGAGTCTAATATCTATATATCATTCTTATCGTCATATAGATTTATTTAATTGGTAATGCGTGCTTTGCCTTAAAATAAATAATGCTTCATCTAACTAGTATATACGCGAATTAATTATTCCTTTTAATCTTTTCTTGTGTCAATATAAAATATATGTGCAACGAACTATTACAGTGCATCATGTGATCTTGTCACTTTAACCACTCAGCCACATTTTCACGAGTGCCCTTGGGTCACAGTGCAGATGTGAATTTCTAGGAAGTCACGGCGTTTTCCATATCATATTCTTTGGTGGGATTGTCGATGTAGCAAACGTATATTTGCTATAACAATCAACTACGTTACTTATTTTTCGTATTTAAGTAGAGTTTCAAGACTACTATTAAATTAGTAATATGAGATGAAGATCTATTAGTAGAATTTTCCCACAATGATATTAGTAAAGCTGACTTATCTATTGAATTTTACATAGCCTTGTATTCCAAAATGTGTTCTCATTCAGTACTTCATCACCTTAAACGAAATTGTGTGAATACTTCCCATATTGCTGATATACTGGTAGTCTCGAAACTCAACCTAAATACGAAAAATAATTAACATACTCAATTATTATAGAAAATATAGGTTTGTTTTATCGACAATCCTACCCAAAAGGCCTTGCACTCCTTGAAATTTACATTTGCCCTGTGACCCAAGGACACTCGTAGAAATTTTGACGAGTAGTTAACTTATCAAGCTCCCATTCTGCACTGTCACAGTTCGACTCCCCCTGGGGTCAAAACATCAGTGCATCCTGGATGATAACACTTTTTGGAAATCAAGGCTATTTGAAATTCAATCGAAACGCCATTTCTCTTTCAATTAAGCCTCTTCTTAATATTTTGAAGAGTAAAAACGAGGCCATTCAAGCTAAAGCGCTGCAAAAAGTATAATCGAACTAGTGGCAGCGGTTCATTTCAATGAGTCTCATTCATAGCCTCTGCCATAGTTCTGATAATTTTAGCTTCTAACAATGTATTTGTTACTTCCGGCCGGCATCGTTTGTGAGCCTTGCCACTTTTATGATCAAACTACAATTCATGATAGATACAAGTGGTATCCATTCTATTCTGGTACATTTACATATCCCATACCCTCATATTCCTCCTTCATTATTGAAATGAGTGGATTAGTAAAGCCTGGCCCTCAGGTTTCCTCATGCCTATTTGGTTAAACTTTTTTATCCAACTTGGCACTTTCAATCTGCAATTTACTTCATCTTAATACGTTTCCTATTTCTGATCCCGTGAATTAAATTTCGTGTTACTCGTGACCTCATTTCCCATGTTTGCCTCAAGGGTTTAGTAGCCTCACCTAGAATGCCCTCAAAACTCGGGCAAACCTCGTGGTCATGGAGAACCTTTATGCTCAAACCCTTGTACTGTGAACCACCGAACTTGTCACTGACGGATGATCAGGACTATATTCGTCTAAGTATTATTCTGTAAAGTTATCATTAAGTTTTGGTCTATGCTCGTAAGATTTTTTTTCCACATACTAATTTATAAATTAGCTCCTGCATTCATTTGGGGTCAATATGTTTTAAGGAGAACAAAATAAATAATATCAATATAAAATCCAGATATAAGTTGTTCCAGTTACTCTTATGAATAACAAGTGCTTTAGCTTATTCACTTTTTCAATAAAGATAGGCTGAGTGTATGCGCACCATTGATTCAGGCTCAAGGCACTTTGAAGAATGTGTGCATAAGTCACATGTTTGGCTATAATAAAAATCTGTTTTATGGGATAAATATATTCCGAATTCTTATGCAAGCTATCCTAACAGAAACAATGTGAGTTCAGCGGTCGAAACGTGCGCATATGAATATAAAATGTACTGCATTGATTATAAAAAGTATCAGTGGGTTTGGCACTGATTCATAGAAATACATTAGGATTCGACTCGGAATTTCCTCATCAACCGTTCGATTCATGCTAGTTCAGATAACTCACACTAGACTGTAGTTTCCTTCAGGGCAGAATCCAACCCAAATACGCTCGTTTTTCTCTGTCTGAAGATAAACACCATCGCGGTAAGCAAATCCTCGTGCAGCATGTTCATCCAGAACTTGGGACGCACAAGCACGTAGGTAACGAGCCACTGTCAAGCCATCTGAATGGAGATTACCATAGGCACTTGATTCGGCGCTGCGCGAGCGAACCCTACACGATTGACTCAGCTGGAGCCCAGGTAAAATAGCAAAGAGATTATGGCACTTTGGAGATTTATGGTTATTATGTTACTGTACATTTATGACCATTTTTATGATGTCATCAGCCTGCTGGGAAGCAACATGGAACGATAGTGGAAATATGGAAATATGACGTGCATATAAAGTGGTTACCTTAGGCTTGACAGTCTCCACCTGCCTTGGCAAGCTCGGTGCATGAGGTTTCATCAAGCGTCGTGTTGCGTCTGCT